AGGCCCACCCGGCGGGGCTCTGGATCCAACAAGGGCTACTAGACAGCCATCTAAGGTACCAAAGGCGTGTGAATATGACAATATTCTTTTGAAGATCGAAAGCCTGAGGTGATGGTGACCCACCCAGCCGTCGTCACTATCTTCGCTCTAAAAAATTTTCCAATCAGAAGATAAAAAGTAGCAACCCATTTGATGAGTGACAAAGGTAGATTCTGAGCATAGATTCGGCGTATGATCACCTTTAATACAGGCGTTTAACCTTGTGACCATCTAAAGGAATTGACGATATGGATTAAAGCATACCATAAAATAGTATTTACGCAGTATGCTTGTTTTACTGTGTAAATTAACTCGGAAGTCAACTTTACGCAGCAATAGTGGCCAAAAGAAAGTCACACAGTCTCATAAAGAGAATGAAGCAGCCTCATTTTCGGGAAAGAACCAGGTAACTGATTCGGAACAGCATGACCAGTGAGCTTCCGATAAGATTGTCAAAATAGCACCCGTAGAACACCCTTTATCACTGTTCACTTGTTAGAGATGGTTTTGCGCCCACGTTTTCTAGGGAGGGTGAAGGTGTACGTACTCATATTCTACTGTGATAGATTGGTACTGAATTGAAAACGTCACCGAGGTATACGCGCTCAGTAAAATCCCACAAAAATAACAACACGGTTTGATTCCCACATCACCCACCCCCTGGAGAGTTGGTGACATGGACCATGAAAAGATTATCACTTATCATACCATAAACCAACCAAACAGCGAGGAACAGACTGCCAAAACATGGAACACCCATACATTGGCTGTTTCGGGCTCGATCTGATTCTCTTCAGCAAGCCACATCGCCAACAACTGTAATCACACTATTCGAGCACACAGGCCGCGCGGCGCAATAACGCTATCCAGTCAACACTGCCTAAGTACCTCCCAATCAGTTTTTCACGGCAAGACTGGATGTGTTTTCAACGTATCACGACATCGTGATTCCTATTTTGGGTTCGGCGGTGACATATACCAAAGAATTCCATCTCTGCCGCATGCAATGCAGTTCTGAAATTTGCTGTCCTAGCCAGAGAACCACGCCCATGTTATTTTCAGTCTTCACGTATATCGGTAAATTGCTAAAGGCTTTCTGAGCAAAAAGTGGCGATTGAAAGTTAAACAGATATTGGGTGAAAAAAACTATCCAGTAATACATGTACAGCTCCCCAAAAACCGCAGAGGCACTACGGTCATTTAAACGCACGCAGTCGGAATTGTAAGGACGGTACGATTGGGCATGCCTGTGTATGGCACATAGCAGTCGGAGGGACACGTGAAGCTCAGCTAGAAGTCAGCCAGTGTGTCACTTGATGGTGAAGCTAAGCTTAGGCAGATCCGTGTCTAAAAATAGACGCGACTAGGGCACTTTGCTGGGCATGCTTTGGATTGGCTAGGCAATTTCTTGGCTCAGCCAATCAAATGTTGGAGTTTGTGAATGCTGCCAGCAAGATTTCCAGGTGAAAGGCCAAAGTGGTTGTTCGCCGAGGGTTCAGTTGGGGCTGAAATTCTAGCTCTGCGTCGATGTGACTAATGGCGGAAACAGTGAGAATTAAAGGGCATTCACCTGGAAGTGCAGGCATTTTGAGTATCGCTACATAAAGTAACATGAAAGCCTCATTCTCAAGCGAAAATTTCAACACGAGAGCATAAAGAGGTGCAAAAGGTGGCGCATGTCTAGGATATATGAAAATAACTTATGCGTATCACTGCATATAATGCGGTGGCGATTGCTTTTGCACAAGATCGCGCAAACTGAGTCATAGACGACCGCTTCTAATAGAAGAACTTGGATAATAGTCAGATCAAGCTTTCAAATAAACAACCTATTTATTGGTATTTGCTTTTATATCAGCCAATGTGGTTGCGTAATTCATAGCACATAGACTCACAAGTAAGCAAGTTTTCAAATTGTACAGGAAAAAAGAACCTACTCAAGTCCATATGGGCTGAGTCTGACCCAGCGGTCGAGGTGGAAGCCCTTGTTACAGATGATCCTGTGAAGTTTACCAACTTTCGGCTCCTCAAGAGTCTGATAGATCCGTTCATGTAGAACCACGACCTCACATCGTCTTTGACGATTTGTATTGAGGGCCGTTCGCATGAGCCGAATAATTTGCGAGTCAGGACATCGGACGACATTCTGACGATCGACCTCTATTATGTGATAGTCCGGTTCAAAGCCCGCGATCTTCGCGGGCGAGTCATGATCGACCGCTGTGATCCGACCTTTGTGAATAGTGAATCCCAGGTCCCGATGACTTCGCATGTTGTTCATGGTCTTCCTTGGCAGTGTAAATTCATTAATTATCGCACACTCGTAAACGCGGAGGGTAAGCCAACGTAAGTACGGACATGGCCTAAGACGAAGGATAAATTTGTCCATCGAATCCGCATGAGATGATGTGTATGGTTGTGGTGCATCTTCTAGATAATTGTGATTAAACTCCATCACTTGGTCCGCATAGTGCACGTCTGGCTGGCCGAAGAAGTCATTGTAATTGATGTTATAAATGAAGCACTTGTTATTCGGCAATAGTTTAACCAGTAGTTCCTGTTTATGTTTGGGCTTCCGGCAAACATAAACGTCTTGAGCAATTGGTCTCTGTACAAATCCTTCTGGCTTGACGCGACACAGCTGAGAATAGAACAGTTTCCACTCCTCGTTCTCAACTCCGAGGTCCTTGACATAGTGGTAGACATGTGTTAGCGAGACATTTTCGATTGGTGTTTCAGGACGATCACACTCCTCTGGCCTTCTAGCTCTTACTGAATGGCTACCTACCACACACGGGCTCCTAGGCCGACATGCCAACGAATTACCACGTAAAGGTAGCAACTGGTTCGCCAGTTTGTCGGAGGCGCCCCCAGATATTGGCTTCGGTGGTGGTGGAAAGGCAAGACCATACTTCCAAACGTAATCCAGGTACTCCTGGATAGAGTCCTTGGCCTTGGGGACTCCAAAGGCGTAAAATGAGGGCAATCCAGTCCCCTTCGGTGGACAGTGCTTCGGGCAACCGTAGGCACACTCCTTCGGTTTTCCTTTCTTAAACGCACCTTCCCCCGGCTTACACAGTATTCCATGAACAGGGCATACCACAGGGAATTCATTGTAATTTTTTCTATCAGGAAATTCTACCACACAATCAGGTTTTACTCTATAGAGCGGCTGATATTTTGTGCAGTAGTCGTCGGGATCTTGACCAGAGAGTATTTGAGTTACGGCCAAAGCAATGGCCTGTGATGAGCTATGAGTCGCGACCTTGGCATCTGTCTTCGCGGCTGCGGTTGCGACCTGAGCGGCCATGGTTGATTGGCAGGCAAACCCGTTTGCCTCACGTGTGTTTCTCGGCGCTCCGACTTTCGAGCTAGAAACCTATTTATTGATCAATGCTCGGTGCACGTGGCCATTGACATACGAGAGCGCCAATCAAATGGCAGGCTATTATTTTACGTGCAGGAATTTAGAAATTTTATTGGCCGTCCACAACGAAATGGCCCTTTGCAGTGGCACCGTTTCTGGAAACATTTATATTTACGAATAAATACACCTTTTTGTGGTATAGAAAGGCTGCGAATGCGTGGAAATTTGATATCACGAGGTAGCAGACCAACAGATGACTATTTTAAAGGCTAAGTAACCGTTAGTCTACATTATAATGGTAAATCCATCTAACAAATGCGCTTACTGATTACAGCACACAAAATTAACCTTTTGCACGGTGAATTGAGCAACAGTAAAATACAGTTTCCCACACATTCCTAAAAGCTCTCTGATGCTAGTATTTTTGATAGGGAAGAAGTACGGGGCAGGATCCTACCCATTGTCACCTTGAAACCAGTTATATAGGAATAATTTTCGGATTCATAAGCGAAAACTAGAAGGCAAGTTTCGCGGAGCCGATCAACTCAGCTTAGTGTGTTTTTGACAATGAAAGTACTAACAACCACGGCCGCAACCAATTGGATGATCTAGGTGGACCTCGGCCAGGATCGAATGATCTGTAGAAGAGCAATGAAAACTGGAGGAACACTGCCAATAGCCAACCGGATCCCGACTGCAAATGCCATAACAGCGGCTCGCAAGTTTCAAGCGCGGCGGATTCTTAACCTTATCTTCCAACCGCTTCCAACATGTCCACGCTATCAACAAATATTCGGCACATAGATCGACCTTGTCAAGCATATCCGAAGCCAATGCGGTAACGACTCGAACATTCTACCTGATGTTTCCGTAAGCGTCCCCATCGCCATACCCGTGGTAACCCCCACGAAATACACAGCGGCGATCATCACCACCGATGATCACAATTTGAATGTCTCGTCATAACCGACGTCAT